CCAGACGTGAAGAAAAAGGTTGCCAGTATTAGCTTTGGTAAAGGTGGCCTTGCCCAACCTTAGGTTAAAGAGGGCTTTGAGGGGAGAAGTGATATGTCACCTGAGCCCCACAGGATGAGGCAGAGATTGGGAAAGGCATTCTAAACAGAGACAGCACGTGTGTAGTGGCTGCGACAACACGGCACATTTGAGGGAACCACAGGACGACAAGGCCCACCTTCCCAAAAGAATTATTCCCACTTCCGCACTCTGCAACAAACCAGTCTCTTTGCCCACCCTTTGCAGTCTGCCAAAAATTATACACATAGATGCTCGATACATATCGGATGACCAGAGGAGTGAATGATACATGATATGTCTCAATTAGAGCAATTCTCTTTTCCTACAAAGTCCGTTTTCTCCCTACCAGTCTGAATTTCATCAAGACCAGCTGGAAACCCACCTCCCTAAAGCTGGTATTATCCAGCAGCAACACAAATGAACGGTACTTACTCTGAACTTTGTCTTCTATCGTTCTCAAATTGTTTAAGGTTTCCTGTTTAGTCTTGTTTTCCTAATTAAACATAAAGTCCTCAAGGGCAGGAGCCTATCTCCTTCTCCTTCTTCTCCTCTTTAACTTGTTTTATTATTATTGTTGTTGTTGTTACTGTTGTTGTTTTGTTTTGGTAAACCCAAATATACTAAATCCAAATATACTATCCCTATAGAGTGGATGTTTAATTTCTACAGAAGGGAGGGAAGGAAGAAGGAGGGGAGGGGAGAGGGAGGCAATCTAGCAGAGCATATTGCTCTCTTTGGGAAGAATTTGGCTTAGCTGACCTCTACATGAGCCCGTACACACACACACACACACACACACACACACACACACACACACATACACACACACATTTTTCACAATCTCTTAAATCTAAAATTTCCTGGAAAAAAAAATCTGAATTAATGAGATTTTACTCAAAGGTTTCACATTTTCAGCAAAAGATAAATAGCTTACCAGTACTTCATACACTGTAACCAAAGGCCTTAACGTCCAACCCTTTCTTTTCCTGTACAAATCAATTACTGTAACCTCCTTTGATGCAATGTAGCAAACCATACACTAAAATAGCAACAATAGTTTTCATAAACAAAGAAACATCTCTGTTATTTCTACCTTAATACAGATACTCCTTGACACAGGATACGGATGTGCTGATAAACCCATAAGTTGCAAATGTCATAAATTGAAAATCCATTTAATAAGTGGGATAAACTCATCATTGTGTCAAAAAAATTTAAGTTGACCCATTGTAGATTGGGGACTGTCTTTTTGTATCATAAAAGAGGCCTTATATACAACTTCTTTAAATGTCCACACTCACTCTATGGTCCAATCAGCCATCTCTTGCGAACACTTCCAATTGGTCTTCTTTCATCTACTCCTTCCCTTCTCAGTATATTTTACCAAAGACAAGAAAAGCCGATCTGCTCATGGCATTTCCTCCTTAAAATCCCTTGGTTACTCCCTTGTTGCATAGGATAAAGACCAAAATATTTAACAGAGCCTACAGGCATGGCACGGTCTGGTGCCCAACCACATTACCAGCTTCATTTCACACCAAGTACCCTCATTCTCTGGGCTCTGGCCACATAGCCCTTCCTTCAGTTGCTCATCTTGCTTCCTCTAGCTTCAGGGTCTCTGTCCATGCTCTTCCTTCCTCAGCTGAAAAGCTACTTATTTCCTAGGGAAGCCATTCTTTATCTGCACAGGACAACACAAGCCCTGTCTGTCATTGCACACACTCTGCACCTCATGCTTTTCCCTCACAGCACTTAGTATACTTGCAATTATGTATTTGTTCATATAATAATGCCTGCCTTCCCAACCAGTCTAAAAACTACCTATAGATAGGAACCATGTCTGTTTTGTTCACCATTATATATCCATAGTGCATACAGAACTTGGCACATAGTAGGCATTTAATAAATATTTGACAAATGAATGCCATCTGCAATGGATATTAGTAAGATTCTATCACTTGGAGATATATACATATATATATATATATATATATATATTTTTTTTTTTTTTTAATTTAAGCCTACCCTAGCCAAAATTCCAACGAATTGAATTCTAGAGAAAAGGAAAATTAAGCAGGGCATTTCATTCCTCCTCACATAACAGAAGAACAAATTAGCCCAACCCATATTTACCTATACATTTATTTACTGCAGGTCTACATACATTGCTTATAATTAATCACATTTCCCCCAAAACCACTAAACACAATAAATGTTTATTTACATAAATGATTTGGGCCTATTCATAAGCTTTTGTTTTGCAAATAGCACACTTCATTTTTACAAATGAAGAAATAGTCTTGATATTTAAAACTCCTTATGCTTAGGAGGGAAGATAATTTGGGACAAAAAGCAAGGAAAGACACAATATTTTAGTTTGTAAAACTGGTTTATTTACAATTTGGTGTTTTAAAATTGTATTTGAAATTTTTATTTTTATTTATTTCCCTGGCAGGCATTCTATATTTTCTTAAATATGGAGGCAAAAGATAGAAAACCTGAATAAATTTAAATTTAAGAGATTTACCTGCTGCTACAGTCAATAAAATTTAACTTTTAATCCCTGAGAACTAGTAAAGTGTCAAAAATAATATTTTATACATTCAAATGTAAAAAAAAAACCATCTTAAGAACACAGAAAATAAAGAATAAAGCTATATAATTAGCCTCCCCACAAATGGCAATGAGAAGTCACTCTTCCACAAATTAACTGAGGGTGTGTGCACATGCATTTAAAGTTATTAGGTGCACCTAAGGAGACTAAGATGTTCTAGTCCTCATTTTTTTTGTAGTTTGTCCCATTTGAAAAATATTCCTGGAAACTGATATGTGATTTATTTAAATAACATAAATGCCCATTGCTAGTTCAAATTTCCCCCCTTTCTAAATTCATGTGTAATGTATGGTTAGGAATTTTCTTTTATTGTCCAAGACCAAAATTAGCTGATTACAACCTAAGCCCCAAATTTTGCAGTGTCTTTGCAAAGTCACTTTGGAGCAAGTTCCTTCAGTTTCCTCAAATATCAAATGAGGATAATTATAGCTCATAGAGATGTCTAAGGATGAACTGATGTTCATACAACACCATGAGATCTGTGAAGAAACTTTCTAAGTAAGAAGCAATGCTCTCTGGAACGAGTAATACAATTGTAATACATTCTTGCCGCTCCTTATTATAGAAGGCTTGTGAATACTCCTAGAATGTCAGCTTTCTTCAAAGGAGTAAATATTAATTCATTAATGCATTAGCTTCCTCGTTAATTCCTTGAGATGCAAGGCAATAATAGCAGTTATTCTCCCCCATTCCGCCTGCAATATATATGAATTGCACCACAAATCTTAAGAATGTGACCATTGCAAACCAGTAAGTCAAAGTCAAACCAAATAAACAAACCAAAGACTTTGCAGTAAGATGCAATTTTCTCAGGAGTGTGCAGCACACTGGCAGTCGTTTTTTTCATTTGGGACTGTGTTAAAGTATCACTAATAACAAGGAATGAAATGGCCCAAAGGAAGGGTGGTGTAGTTCAAATTCAAAAAAAAAAGACAACAAAAACAGTGAAACAAAGCCACAAATACCTTCTTCAAACCCCTCTTAATGCTCTCTTTCCAAGATGGAAAGAAGTCAAACCAATATCCCCTTCTTTAAAATACCAACATCATTGTCAGCTAGCAACATTCTCTACTACTAGTTCTTCGAAAGCAACTTTGAAGTTCCAAGAATATTTATTGGTGTAGCTGTTGATTCCAAAAGGGAAAAGATTATGGAGATTGAAACAGAATAGAGCATTAATCCATTTAAGAAAGAACTTTGAAAGATTGGATATAAGGAAAGAGAATGAGTATGAACTATAATTCACTGAGTTGGTCAGTCAGGACTGGACAATAAATTTTAAATTTAAATTGCTACTTTGGCACCAACTTTCAATTTTATACACAATACACATCTCTTAAACATTGTACTTCTAAATATATTTTTTTAGGGTTAGTTTGTTGGTTGGGTTTGCACTGCATATGAAATTTGAGAAGTTGAGCAACAATGAAAATCTATGGCATAGGATATAAGATAAAGGCTGGGCTCAAGGAACTCTTACAGTGTTCCTTATTTGAACTAATCCCACTTTGGATGCCGGAAGCCACACAAGTAAATTCCTTGGCTGTTTGTTGGTGGCAGGAGGGATGTAAATAAAAATGTGAGGTAGTTCTTTCCACAAGAGGGAAATATGTGACTACATAATATCCCTGCAATGTCTGACAAATTACTAGAGCATCTGCTTGCTGTCACCCGTTAAATAAATTCTTAGCTTGGTATTAACTGAACCTGACAAATCATGAGCTAGTTGCAGTTTACAGGCTTTACGTTCTGACCCAACCATGACAGGAGACATTAACACCCCAAACATGTGAACCAGAGAGACCACCACGTATAAAAACTGCAAAATCATAAGCATTAAAAAGCATGGGATGGAGCTGGTAAGAACACAGAAGAATAGTTCACCAGAATTTGTGCACATGCAAGAATGAAGACTAGTGGGGAATAAGTGATAGATTCTACTCCCACAGCTTAATTGCAACCTTGAAGGTTAAAATAAAAATTGACATGATACTCTAGCATGATAAAGAACATGGCAGAGGCCATATAAATAAAAATCAACATAAAAATACTAAAGGTAAAGGAAAGGAATAGAATATTCTGAGAAAAGCAAGAGCTGCCTACTAAAACTTTAGGCTTTCTTACTTGGAATCTGCCTATTTACACTGAACTAATGAATAATTGCTGATGAGCAAACTATTACTAGTAGAATGAATTATTTTAACTTCCCAAGACACTGATATAAAACTATCTACTTAGCATTCTAAACCCTCTCCAGGCTAACAAACCAAGAATAATACCAGAAATAGATCAGGAGTTAAATTATAGTTAGAAAAGGGGAGAAAAGTTAAGGTAGGACATTTAAATTTTATTCTGAAATTATCTCTGGCCACAACAATAAAATTTAACAAATATTCACTAAACAGTCTTACTCCTGTCATCAGCTGTACAATACATACAGTATCATAGAACTGGCCACTAGGATTAAAATCCACTAGAACATGTTCTATGTTAAGTGGCGACAGCAGCATCTCACAGAAATTTTTACATACATATATACACAGTCCACATTCAACCATTTTCACATATTTTCAGTACACACAGTTGCAGCATATCAGTCACGTGTCTAAGTTGTTGCTCGATTAAAAACCCAAGCCACTGCCTAGACATAACTGTAGCAGTTGAGCTGAGTACAATTACAATTAATTTTATATATGTCCATAGCAGAGAGATGTACAAGCCCCTAAGAAACAGAGTTCACAAATACTTTTTTTTTTTTTAATGCTACCACAGCATTATGTTGGGCAATATTAAAACCTTTACCAACCAAATCAGTTTTTTAAAAAGTCTTCTGCTTACCAGAAATATTCTTAATGAAAAAAATTACAAAAATGAATGCTCTCTTTAAAATAATTCACACTTTTATTTAAGATTCCAATATGGCCCAATGCTACTGATGCCTAAAGTGTTTTCTAACATTCTGATGGAGTCATTTAACATGACTCCAAACCACCCATTAAGTTTAAAAGTGGCTTAAGTGCCTTGCACCCAAATTGTAAAAATCCCTGGCCATCCTTACTAGAGCCAGGCACATATAAAAGGAATGCACTTTGGTTCATACCAAATGCCCTGGGATTAATCACACTATAAAATTAAATGGTTTGAGGTAAATTTTTACAAATACAGTTGATTTTTGTCTACTGTCAGCATAACAAAAAAATATCATTTAAAAATCAGTCTGATGTTAAGATACAACAAAGACCATCTTTAACCCCTTAAACATAGGAATTCCCTGTGTAACTAACCGATGGTTATCTTCTCTCAGTGCCTAATGACTCATGCCTTATGGTTTCTATTAAGGCCTGTAACTAGATATTTAAGACAGATGTATCTTTGCAGACAGAGGTGGGTTCCGTTCTTACTGACCAGCATTCAAAGAGTTAAAGAGGCCAAAAAATGCATGCCCTACAACATGGCATTCAGAACAAAAGGCACATTGTTAACACTAAGGGCACAATTTCTCCTCTACTGTTAATCTACACTGTCTTGCACCATTCTGTTATTCCACTGTTGTAGCAATACACTTAAGTGGTAATGAATACTCGGGTGGTGCAAGAAACAGAGCCTAATGAGACTGCAACCAAAGACAAGACAACACTGTGCTTATTCCTAAATCTGAAAACAGCTCAGACATCCCTAGACAATGGTAACCTGTGAGACTAAAAACTGTTTCCAAGCCAACTCCTAGTAGTCTATCAGAGCCCTTCATTGATGTTTTAAAATCACAAAGATGCAACAGTTTTCTTTTTCCTTTTTTTTTTTTTGACATTATAATTAAGCTAGAATTTTTTAAAAGCAGCTTCATCACTAAACACTGAAACATGACGGCTCTTGTGAATAAAGGAAATCTCGCTGTATTTGGACAAACTAACAAAAAAGCCCCATAGCACTGCACATTATAGTTTGGCTTAAAAGTTTCCGGCTGCATTTATGAATAAAGATAGTCACAAATGCACTGTTGGCATCTAAAGAACCAGTTTTATGTGGTGGGGAAAAGACAAGCAGTATTAGTCCATTTATAAGTTTTCACCTGTATTAATATAATCATTTTATAAGAAATTAATAATGGCAGGCTCAGGTTCATATATTTAAACACGAATGTGAAGATGAGTGGAAATGAAAGAGGAGTATTAGGAGGGGAAAATATGACCTAAAGAAGCTAACCATCATTAAGAGGCTCGTGGTCTTACAAAGCCACCAAATCAAGTCTTAGACTTCTTATGCCTTTAAGCCGAAATCTTAATAAATACACAAATCTTTAAATTCTATAAGCCACTGATTGGGGGTATTGTCACATGAGCATCATTTGAAGTGTAACTTACTAACGTATTATTGCACTTCCACAGATTACACAGAAATGTGTACAATATGCTAAAGAATTTGACTAAGGGAAAGAAGCTATAATTTCTAGATACAGACAGAAGTACAAATTAATTTATCAGTGACACCCATAAATAGTAAAGCAAATATCAGTATCACGATTTTATTAATAAGCTAATCTTATTACTGTTTTTTGGCAAATATCTGAAATATTTCCTGAGCATTTTTTTCCACCATCAACCAACAAAGCCTCAAAATAAGTAAAGTGTTTTGTTCAAAACTACTTTTTTTTCTTTTTTTAAGTAAGAGAAACTGTAGGATTAACATTCAAAGAACTTAACCGGAAACTTTCTTGGCCTCACTGGGACCATGCTTTAAGTACTTGTAAAATCAATTTACAGGCAATACAATAATATCTGTGCATATAAAAGATTATTTATCCTAATTTGTACTACCCAAATCCTACTGTCCAAACAGGCAGAAATCTTTCTATATTAAATTGCACATACCAAAAAATTTTTCCTCGTGCCTTGAAATTGTTATATATCACTGCTTATACCTTAGTGATAAAATACTGAAATTTTCACTGTGAAAATAATTATTATTCAGAGAAGAAAATATTCTTTTACCTAACTCTCAGTTACTTTTCCAGGTAAAGTGTCATTCCCACAAAAACAATCAGTGCAATCCAAACGAAAGTAAAATAAAACAGAGGAATGCAATTTCTGTGGTTCTAACGATACAAAGAGTAAGTCAAACCATTTAACTTGAGGTTGAACTTTTCCTCCTTTAAATGTATTGTTAAAATTGGCCTTACTGAACAGCCACAGTGACTTCTGTTTATCAAGAGGATTTTCAACCCTCTTTCTATAAAGAGTTGATACTTTCCCAGGCAAAGAGAACCTTACAGTGGCACCTGAAAAGTGTGAACCCTCTCTAATCTGCTAAATCTTCTTTGGGACTATGGAAATCCCCACCTTAAGTAGCTTGGCTGCTGTTCTTTTTAAAATTGGAATATGAAATGATGGTCATAATCACAGCTGAAATGTCTCTTTGCTGTATTATAATAACAGTCAGGGATATACAGTTGAAGGAAGAAGGCAAACTAAATGCAAGCAACAGATGTGTGGTAAAAGAGGAACAGAGAGGAAAAAAAGCAAAGAGCAGGGAGGAACAGCTCGTGGAATACATTTCTAAATTTAGGTGCAAAACCAATTCTGTAATATGAGGCTTCTTTACAAAACAGCTTGCCGATCATACTAGAAAATTTGGAGGAACACACGTTTCCATTTCCATTTATCCACTAAAAGCTGCTTTGCTGGCTTTTAGAATGTCAGGATGCTAACCGAGCAATTTAATTCTTGGGGATTTTATTTTGTATTTGTTTGAGCACTAGAGAAAAAAAAAAAACTGTCTCTAAGGTATAGTTTTTCTTAGAATATCACTTTTGTCCTGACCATTCTCCTCCTACCACCACCACCACCTCCCAGATTAACTTATGAAAAATGAAAGCAGGACAGGCCCCACCTATGCATGGACCTGGAGTAGGGAGCCATAAGGAGGGCCTTAGGGGGCTATCACCCTGGGGAGAATATAATGTGAACCATGAAAACATAATAGCGAATGTCTTTGACACCAATCTGTAGATGCGTGGCAGTCATGAAGTCATCAATGGCCTGCCACTGATGTTATCATTCTGCCACACTAAATACAGTAAGGCTCATCGTACTTTTAGAACACAAAAAGTTCCAGAAAGTATAAAAACTTAAAGCATTGTCCTCATGTATTTTATAAAAACAAAATGAACAACTTTCTTACATTAAAATTAAGTGCCGAAAAGATACAAATGAGTAGAGTTATTGAGCAAATAAAAACAGGTCTGAGCTACTCCTTTTCAACCCAGTAAGGCTCAGCAACATCGTATCTTTCAGATTACCAGCATCAGGGGATTTGAGCTCAGCTAACGAGTTTTGGCAACACTGTCCTCTGCTGAATATTCCCATTGGCATCTGTCATTTGTGCCAAATTAGTCCTCAGTTTGGAAGCTGAACTGGAAGGTGGAGGTAACTTGGAAATAGACGTGATAGCACCGGTGCTCTCCGTTATCCTTTTCACTGATGTTTTCTCCCCAGTGGGAGGCTTTGGCAGGCGCCTCCTCAGCCAAGGGTGCCGCAGAGCCTGGCCAGGGGTCATGCGCACCGCAGGATCCCATTCTAAACACTGTTTTAAGAAGTCAAGGAAAAGGGGGTCATCACACCCCTTCAGTGCATTCCCCCACTCTCTGCTCTCCGGTGGACCCCTCAGTTTCCCCCTCCGGGAACGGCCTCCATTGAGGACCACAGAGCCATCGGAGAGAGTCGTGACAGTGCAGTAACGGGGATACCCCTTGGAGCTCACAAAATTTTTGGCTCGTTTGGCTGCATCCAACAGTTTCTGGGAAGGCATGCCCAACAGTTCGATCATGCAGGCCAGCTGGTCCCCTTCGTCCTCCCCAGGCAACAGGGGGTAACCCGTCAGGAGCTCCGCTAAAATGCAGCCCAGGCTCCACATATCGATGGGCATACCATACCTGGCCCCGAGGATCACTTCCGGAGCCCGGTAAAAACGCGACTGGATGTATGTGTAGACACGCTGATGCTCGTAACAACTGGAGCCAAAATCAATCACTTTAATACCACTTCTACCTTGCTGCTTTAACAAAATGTTCTCGGGCTTAAGGTCACAGTGAATTATTCTGTTTTTGTGCAAAGCATCCAAGCACTGCAGAATCGAGTGAGCAAACTTTCGAACCAAAGGCAGGCTGAAGCCCTGGAATTTATTCTTCTTGATGAGCTCATAGAGGTTCATGCTCAGCAGTTCAAACGTCATGCAGATGTGGTTGCGGAAGGTGAAATTCTCCAGCATGTGGATGACATTCATAGTGTTGTCCTTGTCCTGCTTCCGCAGGTGTTCCAGGATTCGGATCTCCTCCGCTGCTTGCCGGTGGAAGCGCTTCTCATTCCGCACCATCTTCAGGGCCACGTGCTGGTGGACTTTGTGGTCATAGGCCTTGACCACCTGCCCAAAGCTCCCCTTGCCAATGACCTTGAGGACCTCGTACCTGTAAGCCACGTGATCGTGGGGCACCTGCACATATGATCCCTGGTCATCATCATAGCCACCGTTGTTGGGCCCACCTGTCATGCCCTGGCGCTTCTTTGCATTTGGACCCAAGAAATACACCTCGGGGTAGCTGAAAATCTCATGGTGTTCGAAGGCAGTTAGTTTTTGCATGTATTGCTTCATTGCTTGTTCAGGTGTCATTGGGGTGGCTTTCACTTTCCCCATCCCTTCCATGGACTTCAGAGAGGTGGAGCTCCCCTGCCGTCTATGAATGCTCTCTAGCTGCCGCTCTGGCACCACCGGCAAGCCCGTCTTGCCCACTGTTGTAAGCCCATTTGGTTGTGTTGTGAGCACTGTCCGCTTGTTACTGTTGTCCTCAAACAGCTGCTGAACCTGGATCTGTGCGTGAGTGTGGCTGCCGACATGCAGGTGATCATTCATTGTGTGCTTGCTGCCACCAATCTGGAATTCAGACAGGAAATATGAGCAGAATGGAAGAGCTCTGTCTGTTCAAACAGGGTACTTTAAAAGTCAGTCCCCATCCCCCACAGCCCATCTTTACAAAATCCAATTTGGTTGGCATTCACAGCCAGATCAGGTTTACGAAATGGAAAGAGCTGTGCAGCCAGGAGGGACCTCATGAGCACACTAGCAGGGAGAGAGGATATGGTGCTGACATGGCGCTGAAGGGCTCTGACAAGGCAAAGGAAAAAGAGATCAGGGGCTAGGTAAGGATATGGAAGATGAGATCCTGAAAAAAGGACTCCATAAATACCACAGCTAGCAGATAAGAGGTTTGCTGCCCTAGAGGTAGAGACTATCTTTCTTGTTCATCATTCTACACCTAACATTTAGTACCAGGCCCGCCACAGCACAGGTGTCCCACCCAATCCACACTTGATATAAAAATGAAATAGGATGCAGAGAAAGCATAAGCACGTAAGGCAATACACGGGCTCCCCCACCCCGAGATCGCAGCACCCTTCACATTTCATTTAGTTTCTTTAACACGAGGACAAGGCCCTGTCTGTCTTGTTCACTACTCTTTCCCTAATATCTAGCTCTATTCTGGAAGTACTTCATCATCAGTATTTTCCCTTTCCTGGGAAAAGCTGATGAAACCTAGGAACATACATGATCCGGTGACCAAAAAAAAAAAACAAAACAAAAAACCTGTGCTTTTAGGCTTGAAAGATTCCTACATTGATTGTAGGAATCAATCTTGTAGACCCATAACCTATTTTTAAAAGTTTCCAGGCTTCACTGACTGTGATGACCATTTAAGGCCACTCAGCCCAACAAACCAAGCAACTACCACCGTTTTGGGCCTTCCTTTGGTCAATGGTTTCACTGTCTTAAGACATGGGCTGCTGGGCTACTAAGCTTTCCAACAAAGAATCTAAAGTAGTAATTTCTATTTCAGGTACAAATGCCATGCCTGAACATTCCTGTTTAAACAAAACCCATGGTATAAACCAAGGGGCCACCAACCTTCTATTGAGTATCTACATGGGATTTCCTTCAAGCACTGTCATTGCTAAGAAATGAGGGGTGAGAGAGGACCAGGATACCCTTCCAGTTAGGCATTCTTGTCAGCCTTGGACAACCACAAGTCTTAAAGCTGCCTGGTAGGTGAGTTTTATATGAACTCTTAACGATCACCTTATCATTCACAATCCACCTTACCCTTTTGGCCAGTATTATTATTAATAATAGAGGCCTAGCTGCCAAAGTGGTGTAGAATCCCTGCCCTCTGGGAGCTAATGATCAACTAGCTGAAATCCTTTGCCATCAGTATATTTTCTATTACCCTCCTCTAAATGCTACCTTTTGGGCCTCATATACTACTGAAAGAGTAGAATTGCCCTGTATGTGTAACACCCTAATTCAAGAAATGATTTGGGGAACCTAGATTATTAAAATGAACTTCCAAGTCCTTCCTTCCTACTAGCAGACCAAGACCTGCCCGTTTTCTTCAGCGGACACGTAATGACAGGGGCAACGACTACGTGTGGAGTCGTGTCTGCTGGCTTCTAAAACAAAGCAGGAGATGGGGCCTGGGCCTGTCTGACCATGACTGCATAGATTCAGGGATTTTATTTCTCAGAGAGATTCTTAGAAGACTTCTAGTTGAGCTTTTTTGTTAAATTCATAGATGACACTCCTCATTAGGTGACCTTACATTCTGCTAGACAGGTTGTTCACCCTTGTTCTATGCCAAAAGCAGGGCAGTCGTCTATCAAAATGAATTAGGAAAGTCTTAGGCATATATAAAAGAAGTACAGGCTTGTCCATTTGCTTTTCTTCCCCTAGCTCTCTGCACCCTCTCCTCTTCACTGTGGCCTTTCAAACACTAGGGAATAAAGGGGCCTGAAATTCACAATCTCTCTCTCCCATGGAACCATTCTCTTCAGGGCAGCATGATGATATTTCAGAAGAAAAATCCACATTACCTGTGCACATGGCTATAAAAAGCACGAAGCTTCATTAGGGACAAAATTAACCTTAGGGCTTTAGAGATTCCTAAAAAGACAGCAAAGTAAAGCTTTCTGAGCACCAGAAATTCACTTCAATGTTCGCTACAGCAAATTTTATGTTAAATTTTGTTACATTAAATTTTATAATTTATAACATAACCACCACCGTTTTAGTGATTAGAACCAAAGGGAGTTTGCCAATAAACTGGACCACCCCCCCCCACCTCTCCAACTGCCTTCTCTTGGTCTCCTCTGCAGTACCAACTACTAGTTCACCTACCCTCAGGTGGGTGCAAGGGTTCCTCAGGGTTCAAGCCTCCATTCTCTTGGTTTCTCACTCCCATAAATCTCCCCAGTTGATCCTGACCACAGTCTGGCTTTGGCAACCACCCACGGGCCAATGTCTGTACATCTGCTCCTCAAGCTCAGACCTGCCAGACCCCCTGAACTCAAGACATATGTGTCCAGCTACTGCTCCGTTCCCTCTCCCACAGGCAACTCAAACTCAACTCGTGATTCTTCTGTCAAAACTGCTTCCTCATCCCATAATCCTCAATTTTTAGTAAACAGAAAGCGTCACCTCCACATAGTCACTGAGGCTGTGACACCTGGGAATCCTGGCACTACACACCTGGAACGCCTTCCCAACGTCTCCCTCAACTTCCCAAATCACCACGAAGCCTCGCTGTTACCACCCCACACCCTTTCCCTCAGCGTGGCCTCTCCTCACACTCCTGCTGTCTTTCACTGGACAACTGAGCTGGCCTAATAACATGCCCCCTTGCTTCTAAGTCTACAGTTCCTGAAATCCCTTCCCCACAGTGCTTCTGGAGTTGCCATTTAGACATGTCCATCTGAGACTGCTCTTGCTTTTCTCAAGGCCCACAGCTGGGACCATTTCCATTCTTGCTAATACAAGAATTTACCAGTAAGAACACGAGGTTCGAAAACATAGAGCCTAAAAGATCTAAGGCCTTCCAGTGTCATCTGCCACTGGCACTCTTCTCTCTGAGAGGAACAAAACCAGCTTTCCCAAGACCCATGGAAGTGTCGGGCTTCTGTGCTCCTCTGCTTTTGGTGAGGTCAAGTTTCATAATGGTTAGGAGCACACAAAATGAAACCAGCCCCACCACTGAATCATCCTGTGACCCTGGGCAATTTAATCTCTCTGAATCTCCATATCCTTGCCCCCAAAAAGAAGGTAACAAAGTTACCTCATTAGGGCTATCAGGAGGATTAAATAAGATAATATGTGTAAAGTGCTTAGTACAGCACTTGAGAAAATGAGAGAGCTATTATTCTTGTCTTTTCCAGATGCTGCTTGGAATCCCCTTGCTTCCCAAATCTAGGTGATAAACTCCTATTCACCCTTTAAGGTCTAGTTTCACTATCACCTCCTCTGTGCTATAAAACGTTATTTCATTTTACTGTAATTGTTTTAATATCGGGTGTACCCATCTGTCTGTGGGCAATTCCAGGGTGGGGTCACCTCTTATCTTTCTAAATCTTTATTAACATAAACTCAGGCATATAGTAAGCAGTCAATAAATACCTGTTGACTGTTGCCTCTCTTAGAACTTAGAATCCTTAGAACTAAATCTTGCACCTTCATAAGAAAACATGAAGTCAACACCCAGGGAATTGGGAAACGTCCCTGGTGATCTAAGTCATAAGACGTTAGGCTTGCAGTGCATCAGCAGAGACTTGGGTGCAAAGGATGGCTGGTTATAAAATGTTTGTAGCAGACACAGCAACTAAACACGAGAAGTTAACTTTTGGAAGCTTAAAAACTTTCCAGAGATTTATTTGAGAGGTTCTAGTAAAAGGAGACTTTGAGTCTCAAACACTGGAGAACTTTAAAATCACAACCAAACTTGGAAGTAAAATTAACTGATCTGTGATGGGGGAGAGGGAGACTAGAAAAGCCGGAACATTTCCAGAATATATATGCAAGGACTACATCATAAACTTAAGGACATTAAAAATCTCTCACTCCTGCTCAGCCTCCTGAAGTCTGAGATCGTGGCTTACTTATTCCTACTACTTGCCAATGTCTAGCACAGTGTGTGTCATGTTTAAAAATACACACTGAATAAATATAATTGTTAAAATGCCTATGATTTATGGGTTAGAATAGAGAGAACTACAAAAGGCTTCTTTGACTATGAAATATTTCAGTATTAAAAATTATGTAAGTATAATAGTCTAACCAGTTTGGTAGTTTTAATCACTTCCAAGAAAAAAATGGCAAACAGCAGATATTTCACTGTGCTAATATTTCTGGGCGTCTTAAAACTTCTCTGAAGTCATCCTAGAAATGTTGTATAGTGTTATGGGACTAGAACTGAGTCCAAGAGGACTGGAATTTTAGCTCCTCCTCAAACATACTGACAGTCTGTGTGGCTCTGAGGCAAATGCCTACTTTTTCTTCTTCAAAACATTACTAGTTTTTAAATATAAATTTTAATTCTTCTTTAATTCTGATTATTTTATAAAGATAAAACTGGTGACTGGAGAGTACTTTAAACATTAAAAGTTATGATACATATTAATATTTTGGAATTAAAAAATACATTAATATCTCTCACACAACATTAAAAGAAAAAAACTAATAGGAATTAAGATAGTTACTGGGTACACTTCTAGGACAAAGAAATAAACTAAATGACTAAAGGGCAAAACAATATATGCATAGAGAAAACCAAGGGGCAATAGACTAGATAAATTCCAAAGTTTATAATTTTTATGATCATATATTTACCTGCTTACTATTTCATTTACAAAGGAAAATACGGGCAAGCTCCTATGACAAGATCATTTCCCTCTCCTTAATGCCTTTTCCCCACTCATTCTAAAAGTTCTTCCTAGATTTAAGTGCTCTGGAATTGAAAACTAAAAAATTAAAAAAAAAAAAAAAACCTGACAGACATATGGGAATATGGATCTGCAAAGGTTCCTGCGTTTATAATGACGCTAATACAATTTCATAAAAGTAGAAGTGGCCAGCAGTATGTTAAAGCTAGACCCAGGAGGGTGTGTGCTTTCACTCCAGCCTTGATGAGTTAGTTGGCTAGGGAATCTTGACCAAACCAGTTAACTTGTCTGAGTCTGTTTCCTCACCTGTAAATTGAAGGAGTAGAACCAGATAAACTCTGTGGTTCTCCTAAACTTTCCTGTACTATGAACTCTACAGTGTTACACAAATAAAATCAAAACTACACCATCGAAACTCAAATTCATACTTTCAAAACCACGCATCTAATCATTAACAGCATACTGATGTTTACTCTTAAGTTAAAAACAAGTAAATCAAGCATATGTCACACCAAAACCCAGGCCTCCATTATTAGGAGTACTGAGAAGCACATTCACATCTTTTCTTGTCTGGTGTACCACAGACTATTCCTCCAGAGGAGACTTGTCATTTATCTCTAATTTTATCACCTATTTCAATTGAAAAGAGGCTCTGATCAAGCAAAGCTGATCCTTACAAAATTGGAATCCAGACGCAAACCAAATATTTCTTTCCCAATTCACACCATGTCATGTGATTACATTAACACATGTGAAAAAAAAAAACAACAACAACAACTGGATGTTATTGTACTTTCCGAATTGTCAGATGATTCCAAGCCAAACAAAAAAATCCAAACCCCTAAAACCAATGGCAGTGCCTAAGTAAAACGTCACTGTGACAAGAACACTTCATGGTAATATACAGAATCTCCCATCCCAATGAAGAGTACCCCTCACAGTCCAACACAGATTATTAGTTCACTTCTGTGTAGGGAATTCCTGGCCCCTGGGACTTGACGTGTCAGGAATGGGAGGGCAGTGAGGGGGACAGAATAACAACAACAAAATGCTATGAAACTTGTATACAACTCTTCAGATCTAAAAAAAAATGCAACTATAGTCTAGACATCTCCCAAATTCTTCTCTGATCAACAAGTTTCCCCATAACACAGGACCCCCAGAGCTGCTCCCCTGTTGGCTAGAAATGGTCTTTTCTACAAGAACTCAATTTTCACTTGGCAAACAAAACTACATCCTTAGCAAGCATCCCTCACACAGAACCACCTCTGGGAGACCCAACTGGAGAAAAAGACCACCCATACCATCACTCCTCCAAGCGTACACCTCTTCTACGCTGGCGGTCACCATCCAAGGGCCATCCCTGGGAGCTGAGAAAAGGTACATCTTGAAGTAGAATCCAGCTTGCTAATCTCTGCAGCAACCAGTCGCACGCTGGCCTGGTTCCTGCCTCTGGGCCCTCTGAGGGCCCTCAGCACCTGTTAGGTGCCTGTTCCTAAAGGGCAAAGCTAGCCCTTTCCTTCTGAATAATGTCCAAGTGCAGAATCCTACAGGGGTGGCTCGTTTTGTTTTGACTGCTGCTGCGGCTCTTATTTTTGTTAATGTTAATTACAATTTCTGCTGTGCTCAAACCTGTAGCACTCATAAAACATGCTTACACACGCGGGGGACAATTGGCGATGCTCCCTGTTGGCTGGAGCTAAGGCCTGGAGGCTCTTTGGGGGATCGATTTTCCAGGCAGGCAGGCCTGGCTGTCCCCTAACACATATCTGCTTCTATAAATACCCACTACCCTGGGGGGGGGAGGGTGTGAGGGGCGGTGTTGTGGAAAGGAGAGATGTTTACCGGGTCAGGGAAGCGAGCTCTGGGAAGCAAGGATGGAAAAAAAGAAGAGGGAAGGAAAGCAGCAAGGAGGAAGTTCCCAGGAAGAGGAGCTAGGGGTGGGCGGGCTCCGAGGGGAAGTGAGGGCCCCACGCCACGAATCTTCCTTTGTGGCTGCAGCCTTTTGGCTTGCCCGGGTTACAGAGAGCGGCGTCGAGGAGAGGCCACTGGCATGGAGCTGCTCGCACTTCGACCTCTCTTCTCCCGGCGTCAGAAGCCGACAAGTCCCGGTGTTTCTGCCCAGGGCCCCGCCCGCCCCCCACCGCCCGGGCCGCCTGCGGGCTGGGTCTCACCGTGTGGGCTGCGGCCGCAGCGTTGCTGGCCCGGAGAGGCGGCAGGGCGATGGGGGAGGGCGGGCCGGTCCCCACTCCGCTCCGGGGGGCCCCCGCACTGAGCCCCGGGGAAGCCTGAAGCTGGCGAACGGCGCTGTCCCCTCCTCGGCCTGGGAGCCACGTGCGGGAGGAGACAAAAGAGGGTCAGGGGGGAGAAAGTCACCCGGGCCCCCCCCACCCTGCTGGGCAGCGAACGTCCTCTCCCGGGGGAAGAAGCAGGGACAGACGGGGACAGTAAAACCGGGTGTCTGGGGGACGAGGCGGGCGCCCAGGCCGCAGCTCCCCGGCGCGCACCCTCGGGCGGGACTCCGGCAGCTGCAAAGTTAAGTCGGGCCCGACGCGCGAGTTCGCGACCTGGCGGGGGAGCCAGGCGGGGCCGGGGCTCGCGGCCCACGTTGCAGGCTGCCAGCGGCCGCGAGGAGGGGCTGCGCCGCCGAGGAGGGCGCGCCGGCCTCGCCGAGCCCCGGGCGGGGCGGGAGGCCCAGACGGCCCCCGGCCGGACCCCCGGCGGGCAGAGAAGCCGGGCCGGGGCGCCGGGCTCCCCTCGGAGGGGCCGCGGGGCCCGCGTGCAACAATGAGCGGAGCCCAGGCGAGGCGAGGCGCGCCGTCCGCCCGCGGGCTCTCCCCGCGCCGCCCCGCCGACTTTGTTCGAGTCCCGCAGGCGGCGGCCGCCCGCGCCACAAGGCTGGCCCGGGGCCGGCGGGGGGCGGGCGAGGGCGGCGCGGCGGCCCGTGCGCCTTACCGGTCGGGTAGGCGGCGGGAGCGGCGGCCGAAGGTTTCCTGGTTAACATGGCCGCTGAGGAGGAAAATGCATTTCAGGGCAGCCGTCTCCGCCGCCGCCGCCGGTCCTGCTGCTACTTCCCGCGGCCGCCGCCGCCTCCTGTCGCCCCTCGCGCGGGGCTCCCGCACCTCCGCGCCGCCTCGCGTCAGCTACAGCCAGACACGCACAGTCCGCTGCATCCCCTCGGCCCGGGCCCGCCGCCGCGAGCCCCCCGCTCTCCTCCTCGCCGCCGTCCTCCTCTTCCTCGGGCGGCTGCAGCACCCCCCGGCCCGTGCACATGCCTCGCCCTCCCCGGCGCGCCGCTGGCTTCCCCGATTCCCTCACATAGGGGCGCGGGGAGCGGGCTGCGCCGCGAGGACACACTCGCTCGGGAGCCTCCTCCCGGGCCCGCGCGCGCGCGCCCCCGCGCACACGCACACACAGGCGCCGGCGCGCGGCCCGGCCCCGGGAGGGCGGCCCCGCCCCCGCGCCCCCCCGCCGCCGCAGGCCCCCCCCCCGGACCCCCCCAGCCCGAGCCTCTGGCTCCCGCCCACACCCCGCCCCCACCCGCCTCCCGCGGGAGTCCCTCCCCGCGCCCGACCTTCTGCACGGCCGCCCCTCGGATCCCGGCAGAGCGCCGCGGCCCTCCGGCGCGCGCCCTCCGCCTCGCCCTCCGGCCATCTGCGCTGCCCCTCGATCCCCCGCTAACGACCTTCCCCCTGCCCGGCCTCGCCGGCCCTGCGGCGCCCCTCCCGTGCCCTGCGGCGCAACCTACCGCTGCTTCCCTCCTACCGACCTCGCTGCAGAGACCCCTCCCCTTCCATGCGCGCCCCTACGCGCAAATGCATTTTCAGCTTTTCGAACCCAATGGCTGCTCGCAAACAATACTTCCCCCCGGCTCCCGTGTCCCGGTGACTTAACCACTCCTCCTCCCCAGTTTATCTTGTAGATAACTTAGTTGTGCGAGGGTCACCTCGGAGAGCCCCGGTCGGGGGCCGCCGCTGAGCCGGGTGACCCTGGGCATGGGCGAAGGAAGGGCTGCCCTCCCACCTCCACCTCAGCCACACACACTCTCCCCGATTTACTGACGCCAAGTGGCCGCTCTCCAGTCGCTAGGACAAGGGGAGGCAGAGAGGCGCGTGCGGACGGCCGCTGGGGAAGCAGTTGGCTGTGGGTTGCTAGGCAAAAATAAACATTAGAGTCGCCTCCCATTTCCTTACAACTCCGAGCCTTTCCCCTGCGCGGCCGCTGGGAGAGACACACCTTCTTTTCAGCTCTCTGCTGCAAGGGTTCCTCTCATTCCTCTCATCCCCCAGACGCATCTCTGTCCCCTTCCCTTCCAAGACGGTGGAGAATTTCTCTGCCCTTCCAATTTGCCATCTACAGCCTCTCTTTTCCTGAAGACCAAAAAAAAATTGCTTGTCCATCTCACAGCCGCGCCTCATCGTGCGTGGCATGCTGTGCACCTTTATCCAGAGGTCCCAGGTTTTGCCACTCCAACAGTTAGGAAAAGGGGGAAAGAGGACGAATCTCGGATGACAGGGCAGAAAGTTATGCCATACACCTGCTTCCTGAGAGGTGCCCGCTTTCTGAAGTTCACCTGGGGACGTGGGTCTATTAAGCTCTGCCCCACCCCGTGTTTTTCTGAGCCCCAGACTGGACCTAGTGTGCAGGCCTGGACTAGCGCAGACTCCAGTCGGAAGACAGTCACCTCCTGCGGAGTTCCATCGCCTCTACTGTCTACAAATTGTCATAGCAACCTCTCCCAGAGATCACCCTCAGCTTTATACAAATGCCAAAAACTGAGTGTTTCAAGGCGGAGTGTGACCCTCTCAGAGTGTCTGGGAATCTTGCAGAGGCATTGGCAGAGGTAGTTACCTGTGACGAAGAGTAGAATTTTGCCTAGTAATATGTCCCTCCCAAAAAATCCTCCTGGGGCCTTTTCTTAATAAAATAGAACCACAGTAAAATAGCCAGTCCAATAATATGCCTTTAGAAGAATCACGACCTGAACTGGCCCTAGCAAGAAATATCCCCCTGTGCTTGTCATTGGAGACTATCACATTCAATCCACTTAGTGTTCAAAATTAACTAAAGCATACTTAGTGTTCAAAATTAACTAAAAGAAAACCGCTACTAAGTAGCAGGATGACACTAGAACCTATTTCCTCCCTCCCAGTCTAATTTCATTACAATTTCTAGCACACCACCTTGCACTTTCAAGAAACCTCGCACCTCTTTTCCTTCTTCCCCTTTTAAAAACAATTATTTTAATACCATTTTCCTTTATATAAATAAGCACTCCATACCATTGATGTTCAAATAAAAAATTTGAAGGAAAAAATTCAATTTTAATATAATCTGACAACTTTTACTTAAATTATTTGTGCAGGATTTCAGTAGAAGCTAAACGTGCCACTGCTTTTTCACGAATAAGGAGAATGCTAACTACTGAAAGTCATAATTTGTGATTTCCAAATTAGTAATATTAATTTATACATTAAACATGAGCAAAAGGAGTACTAATTTTTTTTAACAAATGAACACAAACAATCATTAACTTTAATCAAAGCAAGAAAAGGATGCCTGTTTAGGGAACTTTTCAAAATGTCATATCTTGTTCTATAATATGACAAGTATAATTTCAATTTTATACTTTTTTGTTGCTTAAAGTAAGGAAAATTTGCAGTTAACCTAATCCTTAGCTATTTTGGTTATAAATGGTACATCTTTGAAAATTATATTAATTCTTACTGAACTCTAAATTGGTATTAATCACTGCTTAGATTTTCCTCATTCTGTTAAATATTGATGACCTCAACCTGAATTAATGTCAAATAGAAAGATGTACAAATGCACTCCTTGGGCTTTTGGGGAGATTGAACTGGGTAAATTCTGGGTAAATTCTGGTAAATTATTTCCCACAAAGTTTATTATTATAATTCATCATTATCAATTTTACTCTATAATTATACTGCACATTTATCTCTTTATGAAACCCTTTCACAAATATTACTATGTTTAATCTTCATAACTCATAACTCAATCACAGTTGATTTGACTTTAAATAGTAACTCCCTCAGGGTCTCCATTCATTTATTAACAGTGTGCTCTTTGGATCTTGCCCCTTGTAAAAGGTCTATCTGTTTCTGTATGCTTATAAAATCCAGATTCAAATAACAAGTCGGTAGGCAAGATTTAGCAGGAGTAGAGAGAAAGAAACTTCCAACTCAGAACAGAGCTTTGTGGAAGGTAGTTGATGTTTCACTGATAAAAATACTGATCAGAGAGAAAATTGGAAATGATCCAGAAAATTGATGGGTTTTAAAACACATTTACTCATTTAATCTCCTTATCACAGAAACATTTATAAAGAATTTAGTATGTGGTAGGCCTAGGAAATATGATGAATCATCAGATATAGTGGGCTAGGCTTCAGTCTGGCAATTTATGAGGAACTTATTCCTTTATTTAATTAAGCGATAAACAGTAAGCACCTAACATATTTTTGACATGACTAGTAGTAGGATATTGTGGTCTGAATATTTACGTCCCCCCAAATTTTGTATGTTGAAACCCTAATCCCAATGCGTATTAGGCAGAGCACTCATGATTGGGATTGGTGCCCTTAAAAAGTGACTGCAAAGATCCAGTAGCCTTTTCTACCATGTGTGGACACAGAGAGCAGACACCATCTACGAACCAGGAACAGGGCCTTGACCAGACACTGAATCTACAAGCCCCTTGATTTTGAACTTTCCAGGCTCCAGAACTGTGAGAAATAAATTTCTGTTCTTTATAAGTTACCCAGTTTATTATAGTAGCCTGCATGGACTAAGATATGGGGTTACACAGTTAAATAATGAATCCCTGGCTCTGGTCATTACTACCAAGAAGTTCACAGTCCAGTAGGAAGATCAGACATTTAGCAGTGTGAAAAGGGCAGTAAGCAAGGCATATAGAAGTCACAAGGATAGCACACAAAAGGGAGCAATGAGCTCTACTTAAGTGGACTTGGGCCTCAAAAAGGCTGTGCTTCAGTGGAGGTTTTAAAGATGCTTGGGAGTTGGCCAGGACATTCTAGGTAGAA